TAGGAAATAAGTTTTACATAGTATCTATATAGGAAGTCTATATTAAACCCATTAAGTTCAACAAGTTATTGGACCTGGAAGACATTTTAAATATAAATTATCGCTAATTTATTTTGCCAAGTTGGGAACAGGACAAAAATCTACTTCAGATTAGTAGAAGTCTTAAGATCTTGATGCACAGATATCAACCGAAATCATATTTTGAACCAAATATTTGTCTACTGATCTTGCATTAACCTTTCCTCTTGATGTATACTCATTATAATGCTCCGTGGAGTCAGGAATGGCTAAAAAAGATCAGACTAAGAACTTAAAGTCAGATATGCCTTTAAGGATGACAGGACAAGACCTTAATTTCTCTTGAATAAATGCTGAAGAGACCAAAATAATTCCTTAAACTGTCTCTGTGAATTGATACTTTATTCAAAAATATCCCTTCAAGGATGGGTAACTTTTGTACTGATGGGTTTAACTGAACAGAGAAGAACCAAATGACTGAAGACAGGTCTGGAAAATGATCAAAATAAACAAGTGGATCCATGACTCAATTGGCCATAGGTAAGCAAAGATCTGAACAAACCAGAAGACAAAGGATATAGTGTGAAGAAAAAAGGAATTTTGCCAATACCTCTTCCAACTCCTTTGTAAAATAAAGTCATCCCAATATCCACTCCAAACTGCTAGAGACTGGAAACATATCCTTTCCCTGTATACATTTCTTTGCAAAAGTTTATAATTTGAAACAAAAGAAAGAAAGCAGGCAGCAAAAAGCTTTGCAGTTCTTAGGTACATGGATGGCAAATGGCAGAATGACACAGCTGAGTACTCTGGTTTGAGTGGCCACCTGGGGTGACAGTTAAACATGCACCTCCATACACTCCTGCCCAATGGACTGATGGAGTACACTGCTCTCTCAATGCTCTTTCATTTGAAAGTAAAATTACAACACCTGCAGCTTCAAATGCCTTCTCTTCCAGGCAGCAAGTGTATAAAATAACATCTTTTTGATGATCAATTTCTGCATGACGTCTCCAACGCTAATGCTTCCTCTATTAGTAGTGACTTCTGTCTCCGCTCCTCATTTTTAATACTGCACGCAAAATCAGTCTTCAGACATAATCTCCAAGCACTCTACATAAGAAACTACAGATCATACTTAAACTGTTCGTTAAGAAAGGTGAAATAAAACTATTCCTACACCTTTACATCTTATAAAAAATGTACAAGGAGTTTTCTCTGAAAGTATGAGTTTTGTTTGCTTAATGCAGGAGTATTTGTGACTCACAAAATGTGGGAACATTAAGGGAAAAATCCCCCTTGAATTCTGTTCTGAAAACTCACATTACAGGAAAAAAAGAAGCAAGAGATTCACCCAGCTGGCAAGTACCTTCCTTTGGGATAGCTAGACTATTCTTTGCCAATATGTTCATGTGTAACAGTGCCAGAACATACTCTTAAGTTCTTTGCAATTATGGCATAGAATTTCAGCTCTGCATCCACTTGTAAGACTATCCTGTAGTTCTGTAGTTACATGTGAAGTTTCCAATATGATATGCTGAGTACCTAAGTATTATTGCTTTTCTGTCAGTATGTTTCAGTAACTGCCAATAAAGAAAGCATAGATAATGCTGTGCTGTCTGCAAGAGTTCTTTCTCACCTATTTCGTAGACATCATAAGAAACCTTAATCCAAAATTTAAAGCAAAAAGAACAAAATATGTCCTAACATTTTTATGTATTCTGATACACAGCCCACACCTAGTTAAAAAAAAAACAAACAAACAAACAAAAAAAAAAAAACCACAATAATTCTGTCAAAAATCTGATATAAGTGGTGTTTTATGACCAGTTTGAAGGTCTTCCATCTTTCAGTGGTGCAAGGACAGTACACCAAGAAAAGACCTCTGTAATGAGAGCTATAACCTCCTCTGCCTCCTGGGATCTCAGATCCTTTGACAGCTCAGCCATTGCCTTTCCAAGATTTAATTTTTTTTTTTAATTTTTTTTTACTTTTGTCCCTGATAAAAAAAGACTCATCTTCACCCAACCCAGACCATGGTGGGGGTGAGATGTTGATCACTAATCAGAGACTAAGCCAGGAGCAAAGTCCTAGAGTCTTATTATTTTGACACCTCATACACTGCAAATCTGTTATGAATTTTTGTTCACTTGATAGCAACTTTAATCACATATGAAAGAGT